AAATGACAGTAGGTACAGAGCAGAGTTTGTTCATAACCTGGGGTATGAATACCCCCAAGAGTACATGGCAGAACTTTAAGGGGTAGTTGAAAACAGAATTAATAATGGTGGAAAAAGCTCTTCCTCCACAGCTGTTACATGATGCCAAGGTAATGCTGCATGTCCACTTAACTTACTGATACCATGACAGATCAGAACCGCTCCAAGCATGCAGTATCAGTCTCTCAGGTTTACACTCTGTGTTCTAATTGCACGTCTCACTCCAAAATATAATATGGCATGCAGGTACTGCCGCACACTCCAACGCAATTTTTCACAATCTTTTTTCAGCCAAAGCAGACTTTAAAATTATGCTCATTTCCGAGGCACCCCATTCTAAAATATTCAAAACCAAACTAATACTTTTATATAACACCCCAACAACCACAACCATAGGACACTCAATGTTAGAGGAGATTTATGCTTCCAAAGCAAACACACCTGTGCACGCTGGAACTGACTAGTATTCCAGCGTTCTCCGCTCCCTCCGTTTCTCTCCATTACCCAGCTAATGTGACCCCAGTGCTGACGGAGAGAGGAAAACAAGGATGCTCTGCAGGTGCCCGACATTCTCCTTATCAACCGAAGACATCATTGTAATGTTGTAATGGTGCACAATGAAAACCTGTGGCTTTGTGTAATTAAAAGCAGGCTTGAATCACCAGCTGGATTGTATACAATTTTGGGGCAGTTTTTAGGCATTTTGCCAAGGCATCCCTGAAGAAACCTGAAGGCACCCCAGGGTGCCTGAGCACCTTGGTTGAAAAAGACTGCTCTAATGTAAGGTAAATGAAAAACAAGCTTCGGCTCAGATCCCAGCCCATAGGTCACACCCCTATGACATGTTTCACCCAGTCGTAGAGGTCCTCTTTGATTAAGCCTACTGTGGGTGAAACATATCAGAGGGGCGTGACCAATGAGATGGCATCTGAGCTGAAGTCTATCTTTCATTTACCTTACACTGGAGTTGAATACAGTGTGCGGCGGTACCTGCATGCCACATTTAAATTACTGGCCATCCTCGATCCTCCTGTGACAGTCTACTTTGCTGGCACTCAAGCTGATCTTTTGTTTGTCATGCTGCAGAGAGCCATGTTCTGTTAGGTCAGAGGCACCTTTAGTCAGACTGATGCTGGTCCTGCTGTTGCCTCTTCCCCAGCAGTTTGAAATGTCTCAGTGAGCAGTGGAGAGTGGCTAGGACTGGGAGAGCGAGGAAGCAACCCTAGACTTGGGCTCAACACCTGGTCTCTCCAATTGGCTTACCAGGGTTTGGGTTCTGTGTTCCCCTGATTGTTTGACATTGTGGTGGACATATTGGAGTCTTCTTTTGTTCTCTCCTGATTGTCTGACTTGAGCTGTGGATGTGTTGGGGTCCTCTTATGTTCATTCCCTGGTTAGGTGACTTTAGCTTAAAATGTACTAGAGTCACCTTCTGTTGGTCAAGTAGATGTCTTCACTGACACTGTTAAATATGTTTAAGCATGGTGTGCTGAGCATGTTGCTGTTAACCTACTCTGCTCCTCTCCCGTCACCATGGGGGGGTACAATTTATAGTACCGAGCTGCCAAGAGATGCTGTCACATTGTACCCTACTGATGGGATGCTATCATGTTTAGACTTTATTGATAATAAGTTGTCATGTCTGATTGGAGGCTGTCACATAGACTTTACTTATGGAGTGCTATCACTTTTGAACTCTATTGATGGAACACTGCAATTTTCGACATTGTTACATTTGGACTCTTTCTGGTGGGATGCTATCACATTTGAACTCTACTGATGGGATACTATCACATTTTAACTCTTCTGATGGGATGCGGTCATGTTTGGTCTATACTCATGGGACACTGTCACATTTGGACTCATCAGTGGGATGTTGCCATGTTTGAACTCTACTGATGGTATGCTGTCACATTTGCCCTCATGTTTGAATACTTTCTGATAAGACAGTGTCACATTTTGACTCTTTCTGATGGTGTCACCTTTGGACGTTACTGATGGGATATGGAAATGTTTGAGCTCTAGGATGGGACGCTGTTACATTTGGACTTTACTGATGGGATTGTGTCATGCTTGGACTCTTTCGGATGGTAAACTGTCACATGTATACCCTACTGATGGGACACTATCATGTTTGGACTCTTTCTGATGTGGCACTGTCCCATTTGGACTCTGAATATGGGACATTATCACATTTGGACTCTTTCTGATGCGATGCTTTCACATTTGAACTCTACTAATGAGATGCTCTCATTTTGGACTCTGCAGGTGGGACATTGTCACATTTGGACTCTTTCTGATGCAATGCTATCACATTTGAATTCTAATGATGGGATGCTGTCATGTTTTCACTCTACTGTGGGATGCTGTCAAATTTGGACTCAACTAATGGGCTGTTGTCATGCTTGGACTCTTTCTGATGGCACACTGTCATGTTTGGACTCTTTCTGATGCTGTCATGTTTGCACACTGTTGATGGAATGCTGCTACATGTTTGGGCTCTTTTTGATGGGCTGTTGTCACTTTTAGACGCTACTGATGGGATGCAGTCATGTTAGAGCTCTACTGATAAGACGCTGTCACAATTTTACTTTACCGATGGGCTGCTCTCATGTTTGGACTATTTCTAATAGGACACTGTCACATTTGGACTCATTCTGATGATGTCACGTTTGGGCGCTATTGATGGGATGCTGTCACTTTTGGACTCTACTGATGGAATAATGTCATGTTTGGATTCTACTGATGGGACACTGTCATGTTTGAACTCCAGTGAAGGGGCACTATCACGCTTGGACTCTACTTATGGGACACTGTCAAGTTTGGATGACATCTGATGGGTCACTATTATGTTTAGACTTTATCGATGGGATGCTGTCACATTTGGACCCTACTGATGGGATGCTGTCATGTTTAGACTTTACTGATGGGACACTGCCTTTTCTGATTCTTACTATGGGACGCTGTCAAGTTTAGACTCCTGTTTGGACGCTGTCATGTTTGCACTCCACTGATGGGTGTGGGGGTTAGCTCAGATGGGGATCGCCTTCCCTGTGAAAAAAGCAGTCCAGACGGCAGGTCTTTTTTAAAAGTCTGACTTGTAGCCAGTTTTGTTTAAAAGGTTGCATGGAAAATAAACAAAACAAAACAGAAAATAAATCCTTGACATCCAGGCTCTAACTAAACAGCAGAGACTCTAATCTTACAGGTGAAGGGCTTCTCCCAGTCACCAAAAAAACAAAACGTTGTGCAAACCTTTTCCTCTCTTGTACAAAGCACACTTTCACAACCACAGCTCTCTCGGGTATGACTTTCTGAGTCCTAGGCCAAGAGCAACCTCTTGCTCCAGTCCTGCTTTATTTATACCACCTGCTGGTGGTCATCAGTGGAATGCAAAATCCAATCCGGAACAAACCCTGCCAAAGTGGCCTGGAAAACTTGGACTGGTCTCCACCTTAGTCTCCTCACCTTTCATAATGTCACATGGGGTACTGAAACATTTGGAACCATTCTGATGGGATGCTGTCACATTTGCACTCTTTCAGATGGAGCACAGTGACGTTTGAACTCTACTGTCATGTTTCAACTCTTTCTGATGGGATACTCTTAGGTTTGGATCCTTTCTAATGGGATGCTGCCATATTTAGACTCTACAGATGGGGTGCTGCCGCGTCTGGACTCTATTGACGGGACACTGTTGCTTTGCACTACTGATAGGATACTGTCATGCTTGGACCCTTTTTGATGGGACACTGCCATGTTTAGACTCTACAGATGGGATGCTGCCTCATCTAGACTCTGTTAATGAGGCACTGTTGCTTTTAGACTCTGCTGATGGGATACTGTCATGCTTGGACCCTTTTTGATGGGACATTGCTTTTGATTGGGACAGTGGCTTTTGTACTCTACTGATGGGATACTCTCATGTTTCAACTCTTTCTGTAGGGATATGCTTAGATTTGGACCCTTCCTGATTGATGCTGCCATGTTTAGACTCTACAGATGGGATGCTGCTTCATCTAGACTCTATTGATGGGACACTGTTGCTTTTGGACTCTACTGATGGGATACTGTCATGTTTGCACGCTTCCTGATGGGACATTGCCATGTTTAGACTCGCAGATGAGATGCTGCTATGTCTGGACTCTATTGATGAGACACAGTGGCTTTTGTACTCTACTGATGGGATACTCTCATGTTTCAACTCTTTCTGTAGGGATACTGTCATGTTTAGACCCTTTCTGGTGGGTCACTGCCATGTTTACACTCTACAGATGGGATGCTGTCAGGTTTGGACTCTATTGATGGGACACTGTTGCTTTTGTACTCTACTGATGGGATACTGTCAGGTTTGGACCCTTTCTGGATGTTCACTGTCATGTTTAGACTCTACAGATGGGATGTTGTCAGGTTTGGACTCTATTTATTGGACATTGTTGCTTTTGGACTCTACTGATGGGATGCTGTCATGTTTGGATCCTTTCTGGTGGGTCACTGCCATGTTTAGACTCTACAGATGGGATGCTGTCAGGTTTGGACTCTAATGATGGGACACTTACTCTGCTGATGGGATACTATCAGGTTTGGACCCTTTTTGATGGGACATTGCCATGTTTAGACTTTACGGATGAGATGCTGCTATGTCTGGACCCTATTGATGGGACACAGTGGCTTTTGTACTCTACTGATGGGATACTCTCATGTTTCAACTCTTTCTGTAGGAATATGCTTAGCTTTGGACCCTTTCTGATGGGATGCTGCCATGTTTAGACTCTATAGATTGGATGTTGCCTCATCTAGACTCTACTGATGGGATACTGTCATGTTGCACCCTTTCTGATGGGTCACTGCCATGTTTAGACTCTACAGATGGGATGCTGTCAGGTTTGGACTCTATTGATTGGACACTGTTGGTTTTGGACTCTACTGATGGGATACTGTTATGTTTCAACTCTTTCCATAGGGATACTGTCATGTTTGGACCCTTTTTGGTGGGTCACTGCCATGTTTAGACTCTACAGATGGGATGCTGTCAGGTTTGGACTCTATTGATGGGACATTGTTGCTTTTGGGCTCTACTGATGGGACACTGTCATGTTTCAACTATTTCCATAGGGATACTGTCAGGTTTGGATCAGGGGGCGGACTGACCATTCGAGCTCTCGGGCACTGCCCGAGGGCCTGGGGTCAGTAGGGGGCCCCACTAAATGCCCCTGGTACCTTTTTATAGGCTTTTTTGGGTGTGCTTTGAGTGTGGGCAAGGACACAGGGGCCCCATGATCCCCTATTGCCCGGGGGCTCCATGAGTTGTCAGTCCGCCCCTGGTTTGGACCCTTTCTAGTGGGTCACACTGCCATGTTTAGACTCTACAGATGGGAAACTGTCAGGTTTTGACTCTATTGATGGGACATTGCTGTTTTTGTACTCTACTGATGGGATACTGTCATGTTTGGACCCTTTCTGGTGGGTCACTGTGATGTTTAAACTCTACAGATGGGAAGCTGTCAGGTTTTGACTCTATTGATGGGACACTGCTGTTTTTAGACTCTACTGATGGGATACTGTCATGTTTGCACCCTTTCTGATGGAACATTGCCATGTTTAGACTCGCAGATGAGATGCTGCTATGTCTGGACTCTATTGATGAGACACAGTGGCTTTTGTACTCTACTGATGGGATTCTGTTGTGTTTCAACTCTTTCTGTAGGGATACTGTCATGTTTTGACCCTTTCTGGTGGGTCACTGCTGTGTTTAGAATCTACAGATGGCATGCTGTCAGCTTTGGACTCTATCGATGGGACATTGTTGTTTTTGGGCTCTATTGATGGGATACTGTCATGTTTGGACCCTTTCTGGTGGGTCACAGCCGTGTTTAGACTCTACAGATGGGATGCTGTCAGCTTTGGACTCTATTGATGGGACATTGTTGCTTTTGGGCTCTACTGATGGGATACTGTCATGTTTGGACCCTCTCTGCTGGGTCACTGCCGTGTTTAGTTGCTGTAGACTCTACGAGATGGCATTGTTGCTGGGTCTACTGATGGGCATGTTTGGACCCTTTCTTGGGTCACAGCCGGAGACTCTACTCTTTGGACTCTATTGATGGGACATTGTTGCTTTTAGACTGTACTGACGATGGGGCAGTATCACCTTTGGACTCTCTCTGATGCAAAGCTGTCACATTTCAATGGCATTATCAATCAGTATAACAACACTATAAAAGTATTTGTGTGGTGGTGTCAATGTGAAGAGTAAGCAGTTCTTGGTGTGACACCACAAATCATATTGGCAATGCCGTAATAGACTTTATTTAGCATGAATCAATATGCAGTGGAGGTGCAAAGGGTTTTCCTGTGATGGCACGAACAACTTATCCAAGCATCTCAGCAGCATCTTCTCCCCACCATCATCCTTGGAGGCGATATGCAGCAGCTTCCTTCCCCATGGCAGCAGACACCAGGGGAGGGGGGGGGTTTGCACAAGACTGATGGTGTCTTGAGAGTGAATGACAGCAGTGCCTAGTGTGGGAATGTGAATGAGTGAAGTGTTGCTGGGCAGGTCTCTGTGTATAAGGGCATGGATGACGGAGCTGGTCTCTGGATAAAGGGGGGATGGATGACGAAACTGATGCTGTGTCTGGATCTCTGAAGGCATCAGCCTCCCTGCGGGCAGACAAGGGTTAATTCCTCCTGTATCGGTCCTGGCTGATTCCAGCAGCGGCTTCCCATGCTATGGGGAAGCAGCTGTTTTTTTTTTTTTGGGGGGTGGGGGGGGGGGAAGGGATCTGGTCACACAGACACTGGAGGAGATAGACACACACACGCTGCCATAGCTGAGCATCTGTGGTAGAGGCAGCCCTGATCCCAGCTCTAGGACATCGCTGGCTGCTGTGACTCTGCGGTAAGGTGTGGGGGTCCTGTCTCTGCGGTGCAGGGGGGGAGTGCTGCTGCTGCTGCTGCTATATGCCATCGCAGGCTCCTCTCCAGTGCAGAGTGTGAGCAGACTGGCCCTGCCTGCAGGTGAGTGCTGTAGGTGCATGCATGATCCCCACTGATCCCCTCCATCCTCCCTATGGTGGGCTCTGCATCAATGCCACATCCATAGTGCTTGTCCTTCTGCCTGCTCCATGTGTGTGTATGTGGCTCTGGATCAGTGGCTGGACCCTCTGCACATCACACACAGCCATAGGGAACATGCTGTCTGCTCTATGGTCCCATCCAATGTAGATCGCACATTTCTCTGTGCAAGGCAGATCCAACAGATTACACATCTATAGTTTTTAATCAGCTTTGTGCCTGAAGTCAGAGGAGTATGCAATGGTGCTCCTTGTATATGTGCCTGCTACAGCAAGACATACACTGCAGGGATGTCAGGGATTAAATGTTGGGGCATTTTTTTTTTGGGGGGGGGGGTCTATGGTGGGGAATTCTAGAGTTTGGAGGCAAATGGAAGAATTTTTTTGTGTAGGTGTGTCTGAGCAGCATAATAATAGCATCATATTTAAATGATATAAAAAGTCTCATCAGCCTCATTGGCATTTACCTCCTTGGCATTCAGTTACACTTCTTATGTGCTGGCTGTTGTGTCTGATGGTCCAGTTGGTGGACAGGGGACATGACTTCATCACATGCCTGCTACAGTAACTCATCTCAGTGTATATGCAGGGGTTCCGATCCTTGGACATGTGACATTTATTACACACTGTATCATTCCTCCATAACATTCCTCTTTTTTTTTTTCTTAAAGGGTTTGTATTGCGTTTTTAAAGGGGTTGTTTGTGTGTTTTATAAAGGTTGTGAACTGTGTTTTATAACGCTTTTGTATTTTGTTTATAAAGCTTTTGTATTGTGTTTTACAAAGGTTTTATATTGTGTTTATAAAGGTTGTGTATTGTGTTTTACAAAGGTTTTATATTGTGTTTATAAAGGTTGTGTATTGTGTTTTACAAAGGATTGATATTGTGTTTATAAAGGTTGTGTATTGTGTTTTATAATTGTCATATATTATTTTTTTTATAAAGGTTGTGTATTGTGTTTTATAAAGGTTTTATATTGTGTTTATAAAGGTTGTGTATTGTGTTTTATAATGGTCATGTATTATTTTTTTTTATAAAGGTTGTGTATTGTGTTTTACAAAGGTTTTATATTGTGTTTATAAAGGTTGTGTGTTGTGTTTTTTTAATGGTCATGTGTTTTTTTTTTTTTATAAAGGTTGTGTATTGTGTTTTATAAAAGGGTTTATATTGTGTTTATAAAGGTTATGCATTGTGTTGTATAATGGTCATGTATTATTTTTTTTTTATAAAGGTTGTGTATTGTGTTTTATAAAGGTTGTGTATTGTGTTTTAAATGTAGGTTTTGTATTGTGTTTATAAAGGTTGTGTATTGCATTTTATAAAGGTTGTATATTGTGTTTTTCAAGGTTTTATATTGTGTTTATAAAGGTTGTGTATTGTGGTTTATAAAGGTTGTGTGTGTGTGTTTTTTATAAACTTTGTGTATTCTGTTTATAAAGGTTGTGTGTTGTGTTTTATAAATGTTGTGCATTGTGTTGTATAAACTTATGCAGTTGTATGTGTAAATACAACATCTATCCATTAATTATGGATAGGGCAGATTTCTGGTATAGGTGTGTTTGAGAAGTCAGGGAAATATTATTTTGTATTGATAACTATAGTCTCTCAGTGTATGCAATGTATTTGTATAGAGATGGTCTCTCAATATATGCAGACATCCACTATCAGTGAAATACATCATTTAATGTAATGCACGTGACGTGAGAGCTTATACTATTGAGAAAAAAATAGGTGATACAAATTTACACTCACCTTAAACAATTTTATTTTTTTACTTTTAAATCTAAAATAGAGAAAGAGCCATTTAAATGCATCACTTATGTAGCTGTCTGTTGGCGTAATAGGGATAAATGTGTAGCTTTTCCCATTTAAGCTTACAGTCACATAGACTTTTTCCCTTTCATAGCTCTTTATTTGTGGTGTTATAACCCTTCAGTAGCCAATTTGAGTCTCAGATTCACCTGTGGATTTATTCGGTGTAAATATTGAGGGCTGATTTACCAAAGCTGTTATTTCCCCCCCTGGTTTGTGTTCACTTCAACAATCCAATCAGCTTCAGGTGAAATTTCTTTCTTTTTTTTTAATTCTTACAATTTGATTGGGTGTTTGAAGGGAGTAAAAGCTAAAATCACCCCTTCAATAAGCTAGCTGTATTGTGTCACCACTGCTGGAAGTCCATAGCTACTTCAATGTAATATTGTTTTGGCTGTTACTGACACATAGGTAAAGACAGACACTATTCATTGGCCACAGCTAAAACTGTGCAATTGTTACTCGATGCAAAAATCGTAAAAATGCACTTTTTTTTCTTTGTGGTACTAAGGTTTCTATAGATGCACACATGTAAGTAGGCACATACATTATGATCCAGAGACATAGCAGCATGCAGATGAAACTTTTGTATTGATTGATCTGGAAAGTCCAAACTGCATTTTATTGTTACTGGGCAAACACTGAAATGTTAATTTTGTGTCAAATTTATCTGCATGTCTGTCCAATACACAGGGATCATTACAGTGCATAATTGTCCTAAAGTCTTGTACTATTTCTATAGGAAATATGAAAAACAAATCAGAGCTATAGCATTTAATTATAAAATGATTTCCATTTTTCAGGTGTAGTTATTGTATTAATTTCTGTTGCTGTTTTTTTAAACACCAGTCTAGGTTAAAACAACAGCTTACATTTTCCTGCTATTGATAAACAGGTGGCTCGTTCATCTCTTCTCTTTGTCCTACCATCTCCTCTTCATTCTGCCATAAATTGGCACTTAGAATCAATTTAACCAAATTTGCTATAAAGTTTGACTTGTATTGGAACCATCAACCATTTTAAAGAGAGAATTTCACCAACTTTAAAAATTGCAGGTAAAAGTAAAAAAAAAGTAAGGTCTTCAAATGCTTACTTGCAGCGATTTTTCCTTAAAATAGATGATTATTTTATTATGTAACATGCTTTAAGCGTGCTCGAAAATTTGACTACTCCAGAATAAGTCAATTCCCTAGCACAGCCCCCTCCCTCCTTGCACGTCATAGATATCCATTCTTCTGGGAGTGTCTAATTACTGTCTGTACTGGCTGAGCTCCTCTGGCCTTCATTTCATGTCCCAACAAAACCCTTTATGTAGCAGCCAGGAATAGAGCAAAAGAAGATACTATAGAGCAGCGTTTCTCAACCAGGGTTCCTCCAGAGGTTGTTGTGGGTTCCTTGAGCAATTTCTGCCTCTCAAATAAGCATTGACACCAGGAATATTTTTAGAAATTTATATCTAAGACCGGCATTCTTTCCACTGTCCAACAACGTAAGGAGGATTCTAGCCACTTACCACCAATGTAAGGAGTATTCTTTTTACTGTCCACCAAGTGCAAGCAGACTTCTTTCCACTTACAACCAACATAAGGAGATTTCTTCCCACTTAAACTGGTCATAGATGGATCAAATCTCTGCTGGTTAAGCAGGGTCCAGCCGATATTGGATCTGTCTATGGGCAGGCTCAGGGGCGGACTGACAACTCATGGGGCCCCCGGGCAATAGGGGATCATGGGGCCCCTGTGTCCTTGCCCAAACTCAAAAAATCCTATGAAAAAGGTACCAGGGGCATCTTATGGAGCCCCCTACTGACCCCGGGCCCTTGGGCAGTGCCCTAGTTTCCAAATGGTCAGTCCGCCCCTGGGCAGGCTGATTGTACCCAAGTCGATACATTGATTGACTTGAGTAAAACCAGTCTGTTGAATGTTTAGCATGCGATTACTGCCCTCGGCTATAAATGCTAGCAGTAATCATTGTGTTCTGCCAGCCGGGAAGGATTCCCACCCCACCTTGGCAGAATACAATAGCACTGCGGGAGGCATTCCTCCATCAACACTGACTGTAAGAAATCGAGCAATTTTCTTTCTTTCCACCCATGGTGGAAGAAAACAATATAGATTTATCTATGGCTTTTCTTTAGAAACCAAAGCATTCTTTACACTGACCACCATGCTAATATACTGTTGTAGATATTGTAATTAGTAGTAAGGGTTTCCTGAGAACTGAAAGTTATTTGACAGGTTCCTCTGTGTTAAAAAGGTTGAGAAATGCTGCTATAGCTTCTAATTTTAGTGACAGTTCTGAGTTCGCTGGAGCTGCTGACAGTGCCCAGCAGCCATCTCAGGGCTTTTAGAAGTCTACACAAGCGATCCTTGTACTTGTAAATAACATAAAAAATACCATAAATGAAGAAATTATCATATGGGAAGATTTTTCTTAAAATAAATGGTCTGGGGACAGGGTCTCTGTAAGGATGTTTCTTTCCAATTTAGACAAATCAGGTAATACCTGATTATTGATTGGTTGTTGGCATATAAAACTGTGGTATAAAAAGTGTACCCAAAGACAATGTTAGAAAACACCTTATAGCCCAACTTTCTTTCTGGTGCCCCTGTAGGGAAGCAATAGCAGTGATATAACGAGCATTTAAATGGTGTTTGTTCCCTGTATCAGACCAGGGACGGACTGACCATTGGGGAACTCGGGCACTGCCCGAGGGCCGGGGATCAGTAGGGGGCCCCATAAGATGTCCCTGGTACCTTTCATAGGCTTTTTTTGGGTGTGATTTGAGTGTGGGCGAGGACACAGGGGCCCCATGATCACCTATTGCCCGGGGGCCCCATGAGTTGTCAGTCCGCCCCTGTATCAGACATATTCACGCCCTGAAGTTTAGGTCATTTCCAGGCTAGTGGTGAAGTCCTTGCCGCAAACACATGTTAATACACGATACGCTGTGCTAATGCAGCATGTTGTGGTGCATTCTGTGTGTTGTGGTGTATTGCGGAGAAAGAATGCTGCATGCCTGTTTTTTTGCATCCCTTATACAATGCACATCAACACACAGGATTAGAGAAGTGTGAATGGGCCCTTAAAGTCATTATTCTTTCAGCAGCTCATCAAACCCTGCTCCCCTTAGATCCCCCTCAGTTCTTAAGCAATGCATTTTTGAGGATGAACTGCTCTACTGTGTTTGCTGCTACATATACCAGTTAGCTCATGTTTTAAAGCCTATTTTACTGCTGTTGAAGACTTTTTTTTTTTTTTTTTAGTGGCCATAGCCTGACCACCAATTTACTTTAAATGTAATGGTTATTTTACAAATACAAAACAAGTATGTGTATTGGCAAAGAACAGTGCCTGCTCTACTAAGAGTGAAAAAACTGCTGTTGTTGGTCATGTTGACTATGCAGACAGAGTTAGAGTTACTGTTTTTGTCTTCCATCCATTGAGCTTTAGCTCTGTATATAACGGGAGGACAGGGGAGCTAGATATATATTTAATTCACTAAATTCTCTGTAGACGCTGAACCTTAGGCTGACCTGTTACCCACATATATATTTTTCACAGAAGGGAAAAAATTCAAGTGGAATATGAGTTTATGGGTTGTGACTATTAGTATGCAGAATCCCTTTTGCAGAGACTTGTCATCTCTTACAAGTTAACTTTCTCTTTTTTCTCACTTTTTTTAAGCACAAATAATATTAAAAAAGTAAGTATCTTACTAGCTTTCATGTAACATATCACCCGTTTAGGCAATGCATGATGGGGGTTGCAGTTCCACATTAAGCAATACATACATGCAGGCCTATTCAAAAAAATAAAGGAATGTGTTGTGTCCATAGCAACCAATCATGTTCCATCTAATCTTGGTCCAATGTCAGTAAATTGAACTCTGATGTGAGGCTTGAATTACTTCTTCTGCAGTTAGTGCTTTTCTCCAGGCACTGTCTAGTACACAAGGCCAGTGGAGTCAAACTATAAAGACATACAGCCGGTTTGTACAACAATAAGATATGCATAGAAAAATAATGTTAAGCAGCCTCCTAGTGGAAATACTGAGTAGGTTGGCTGGCAATTTGCAGAAGATTCTCAGTTCTTAGGCTGGTGGCATCACTACCTACCTACTGTATATAATGCTTGCCTAATATGCACTGTGGAGTGTATGTGTCAGCTGATCTGTGCAGGACTTTGCAGAAATGTGTAGGTGGCCCAGCTGTTCATCTACAGGTCTCACCATACCTTGGTGGTACCACCTTACCCAAAGTATAAATGGAATGTATGGTATATGAGTAACACTTAAAGGCTTTACAATGTGATGTCATCTAAATTTTTCATCTTTACAGTGCCCGAATGGATGTAAAGGAACCAGAGGAGCTGGGCAGTCCCCGGCCAGTCACCCTTCAGGCCTTTGCAAGTGGCTCCACTTTGCATGGCATTGCTCACATCTTCTCATACGAGCGCTTCTCATGTCGGCGGATGATCTGGATATTGTGTTTCCTTGGCTCCATGTCTCTTCTGCTATTTGTGTGCACTGAGAGGATCATCTATTACTTTGATTACCCTCACGTCACCAAACTGGATGAGATTGCAGCTGCCAGGATGACCTTTCCATCTGTGACCTTCTGCAACCTCAATGAGTTCCGCTTCAGCCGAGTGACAAAGAATGACCTTTACCATGCGGGGGAGCTACTGAGCCTGCTCAACAACCGGTGAGAGTAACTCCATAGGACACGTTAACTTTTTGCTTATGCATTTACTTTTATAGCAGTTTCCATCCACATGCGCCTTGTCTCTTTTACAGCACGAGCTATTTGGCCTATTCAGTAATAAAGCAACAGAGAGAGAGCACAAGTAGAAAAAGCTACGAAGCCAATGGCCTCAGCAGAACCTAGAAAATCTGAGCTTTATTTAATGTTTGTTTTGTTCCACCCTAGCAGCAAGGGATGTATGTATAATCACAATCAATAACAGTAATGCATAAATGTGTATGATACCATGGTATAATACCATACCATACAAATGGTCCTGGTGCAGAGGGGGGGTTTTCTATACCACTGTGCCATCATACACAGACAGGGAACATAATTCACATATCTGTCTATTCAGGAAGGAGGAGATAGGGCTTTCAGCAGAGAGTGCCTATAGCAATAGCAAACCATACAGTCAGGGGCGGACTGACCATTTGGAAACTCGGGCACTGCCCGAGGGCTCGGGGTCAGTAGGGGGCCCCATGAGATGCCCCTGGTACCTTTTTCATAGGCTTTTTTGAGTTTGGGCAAGGACACAGGGGGCCCATGATCCCCTATTGCCTGGGGGCCCCTTGAGTTGTCAGTCCGCCCCTGCATACAACTATGGCACTGAGCAATGAAAGAGCCCAGTACTGCTTGGTAATGTAATGGTTTATTAGGTTTATTGGACAAATGTTTTATTGTTTTATATTGGCACTGTTGTTCATAGTTTATTGTTGTTTTAGAGGTTGGGGAATACAGGCCTGCAGAGCTATACAGGAGCTTTGCTGTGGGGCTGCATCATACATAGTTACTCCTCTGTCTTTTATGCCTAAATGTATTCTGGTTTTGATTGTTTTAACAATATCATATATATTGCATTATCAGTATGGGGAAATAACCGAAGAGTCCCATCTCCTAGTGTTTTAAAGTCCACTGTTACTGTTTTTAATACAGAGATGGTGGAGTTATCAGCTAACATTGATCATCATCAGAGTGATCAGTGAGTCTTATGTTCAGGTCTGGTGAAACCAGAGCTGGATCTAGGGGGGTGCTAGGGTGGGCTGTGCTCCCCCAGATTTTAGTTGAGCTCTCCCCCCCTCAGGTCTCTGACAGTGCATCCACTGATCCATGAGTCAGTCTTATGGGGGCAATTGATGTAAAGAAGCACTCTGATTGGACAATCCATGTAAGGATGCACTGGAATGGGGAAACCTGATGTAAGGGGGTAACTGGGGTAACTAATGATGGGGTAACTAATCATAGGTAAGGGGGCACTCTGATGGGAACAGTTGATGTAAGGAGGGATTTGGTAGGCATGGAAGATGTAAAGGGGTACTCTGATGGGGACAGTTGATGTAAGGGGGACTCTGATCGGGACACCTAATGTAAGGAGGGGAACCTAATGTAGGAGGAGACTCTGATGAGGACCTTGATGTAAGGGGGACTCTGTTGGGGAACTTTATGTAAAGTGGCACTCTGATGGGGACCTTGATGTAAGAGGGGACTCTTATGAGAACTTCTGATTTAAAGGGGGACTCTGATAGGGACACGTGATATAAGGGGGGAAGGTTCTATTTAAGCTCCCTGATCTAATGACAGCCTAATATATACTAGTGTTTCCCAGGTCGTGACGCTGTGTAACATACTGTCAATGACTCACACATAGAGTAGACTTTTCTTTACTGCAGATCAAATAGGCTAGATCCAGCCCTGAGTGAAACTGCATTAAGATCTGCTGCAATTGCTATAGCTATTGCTATAGCGCACACAATAGTTCAGATGAAAGAGGGATACGGGATATGTTGTCTAGACCTGTAATAAAAAAGAAAACACAAGCTGATTAAACACTTCAGTGAATACAAGCCTCATTACGCTTAGCCAATTGTTTGCAGGCAGGGGCATTGCTAGACCTTGGCACTCAAGGCGTGTGCCCTAGGTCTTCATTGCAGTAATTGTTGCTGTCATCTCAAGAATGATCCTGTACATAAACATCCTTCAATCTTAGTTGGTCTTTGGCTCCGAGATTCTTTGTATCTTGTTCCTTATATCAATTTTCACATCCTCACTACTAACTGCATTTTCCCTAACAATTCCTTATAACTGTATTGGGTAGATTATTTAGTGAACCTAGGAATCTGACATTTTAATGAATGACTGGATTTCTATACTTACTTGTACATTGCAATGTATATTCCTTTTTCACTTATGTGAAGTCTGCAACTACAAGCAGGCTATTACATAAAATACATTACCGTAAAAAAATAGACCTTTGAAACATTGTGCCAAAAAAACTGGCAAATGCTTAAAATATTTGTTTAAACCAGAGTTCACATTTCATTGTGAGAACCTTTTTCCCAATGTTGTTCTGAAGGGCAGGGGGCATGTCACAGCTAAAGGTTCCAGCTAATTTACAAATCTGACCCAAAGATATTTTTTGTAATACTAATAAAAGGCATTTTAAAATGCCAGCTTATTTTATATGGCTAAACTGGGGAAAGAGTAGAAGATGTGGTGGAAGCAGTGGCGTTGCAAGGTTTATTTTTTGTGTCCTTCTAGGTGCAAAGCTTCGCTGGCCTGGTGCTAGGTGTCTAGTTGCCTAGTGGTGCCCTAGTTCTTTTAGACCTGTATGAGCATCCTTACAGTTGTGGTTTAAAGACCTTAGTTGTCTAATTCCAGTTACAATCATGACGACTATGTGGCCATTGTAGGTGGGTGAGGTTGTTCCAGAATTTAATCGCTTCCTTAATGTCAAATATCCTACTCCTGTGTGATTTTGATTCAGTTCTACAGGACAGGACTGTGTTATTAATCATTGGAGAATGTTGGCAAGGGTGTTTCCTCAGGTAAAATATCTATGCACTGTAGTAGAGATAAAAAATTGTATTGCATGTGTGCCTGTGTGTTGTTAACCAGCAAAAATATACCTCTTCAGTGAACTGCAATGTTCCGATGGAGGTTTTAGACACACATTAAAGTGGAACTGAACTGCATCTGAGCAATACAAACCAAAAATGCTATTTAATTCATTGCTAAAGTGGTTGTAAAGGCTGAAGGGTTTTTTACCTTCATGCATTATATGCATGAAGGTAAAAAACCTTCTGTGTGCAGCTCCTCCCACAGCCCCCCTAATACTCACCTGAGCCCCCTCTCAATCCAGGGATGTGCTCGGAAGCCTCGTCTGTCTCGAGTCTCTCTCTCCTCGTTGTCTGAGACAGCAATGGGAACCATTGGCTCTGACTGCTGTCAGTCACAGCCAATGAGGAGAGACCAGGGGGAAGGGGGAAAGAGGCCAAGCCACAGCTTTGTGTGCCTTATGGACACATAGAGCCAGGCTTGGGAGTGAGCACACACCAGTGCCCCCATAGAAAACAGCTCGCTATAAAGGGCACTGGTCAAGGGGCAGGAGCCAGGAGCGCTAATGGGGGACCCAAGCAGGAGTGAATTGGGGCTGCTCTGTGTAAAACCACTGTACAGAACAGGTAAGTATGACATATTAGTTATTTTTTTTTAAATAACCAAACCATATAAAAAATATAAAAATGTTTGTGTTAAGGCAGGCAGCTAGTAGTCTATGTGTTGCCAGAACCCCTTACTTCCCTTGAAGAGGTTCGGTGTAGGGCACAACCTGCCACACCCATTTATTATGAGTTGAAAAAAAAGAGAATTGTTTAAGACTCAGAAGTGCTTCTACCCTACCTTATTGATGTGCTACACCTCACTATTCCTTTAATAATATCAGTTATACAGTATTTCAAGCACAGTTTTTGGCACAATCTAATGAACATTTCCATTGAATTGTGATCATCCTTAATATTTCCACAAACCTTTAAACATTGCTTATGATTAGATTGTCAAATTAATTTAATTCAATGCAATTTATAGAGAGAAGAAAACAAGCCTACAATGTAACAAATGAAACACTCATAATAATAACTGCATTAATGTGCTCAGTGCAGTCATAAAATCAATATATGTCCTGGGGGAGAGTATTATAACACAAAGAAAAACACCTTGACATAAAGACAGAAATACAGGCTAAAAGAGAAGGACAAATGTTCACTGATTAAACAAAAAGGACTGAGCATGATTATAATGATGTGAAGGCTTGCTATCATATCGCAAGGAAAGTAAATGTGCCATTGTACGTTGAACAATAATAAAAAGACAGAGCAAATGATTGTATAAAGAAGATGTAATGACAGCAGTTATTAAAGTGGAGCAATGAAGCCTGCCCCTCAGAGTTATATACAGAGACATAGGAACAGACATCAGCAGGCAAGCATTGACTAAACCCACGTTGCTTGGCCTTAGTTATGCAGTAACAAGGGTTATTCACAGCTCGGAGCTTGTTTGAAGAATGCTTGTAGGCAAGTGGAGTAAGTGATTCGGGATGCCACCGCTTGCCTTCAGTGGGTCAGAGCCCTTTTGGCACAGAAAAGTCATAGTATCAGAACCTTAAAGAATAATAGGGTCTACTAGCTGCATGGCCAAGAGAGTTGCCCAGTAGTTCGAAGAGACTCCCACGTAGAGAATCCTTCACTTAGGAGTTGAAGGAAGGCATGCTTTACATGATCTCCTTTATGGAAGTACTGGACTCTTGTTCTCACTTATGTTCTCTTGTGAAGAAGTTGGCATGTTCCTCTATCTGCCAGTTTTTTTTTTTAAAAACTCTAATAAAAGAACCGTTATGTTGCCTTCTTCTCTTGATACCTGCAAGTCTAGATCTAAATGTATACTACACATGATGCTCATGAACAGTCATGGGGGCTGATTTACTTAAGGCAACTAGACTGTTCATTTTGCTAGGAAATTTCCCACAGTGCTTAGTGAATGAGATGAAGCACTGCTGACTTCTATCATCCTATTATGTGCAAGCAAAAATGCTGTTTCTTTGTATTGCACATAATTGAGTATTTATAACAAAGTGAAACTTCACCACATTCATTAAGCTTTGGGGGCAAATTAGCTTGAAAAGTGCAACGTGAACAGCCCATTTGCCTTTAGTAAATCACCCCATAATCTCTTGAATTGTTTGCTGATGAGATTATCATGGAAAATGAATCTGTTCAATGGGCAATATAATTTGATATTTGTTTTTGTTCAGTTCTTTGGTCACCCCCAAGTTTTTATAACATCTTCAGTTCACTTTAAGTGCCAAACAGAATGGATATCGCATTTTAGCTGACTATTCTTGCCACGGCCCACTGTTCTTTCACATGAACTGACTACACTTATGTGGCCAGATAATTGTACATGGTAGCAAAGCACAAGAATATTGAGATACCCTCCCTTATTTTTTTTTTTTGTTTACACAAGGGTTTTAATTCCTGAAGAGCAGCTGTCCATGTACTATCTGCCCTTCACCTGATCCTAGACAGGTTGAATTATTGGCACCTGCCATAGTATTACAGGTCAAATTGGTATAGCGCCCATCCATGCCTGTAAGGGGTTACTCCTGTAAGACCAGTTACAAGGATGAGTTTCTTCCTTTTTATTGATATATAAAAGAGAGGAGCAATTGTAAAAAAAAAAGCTTAAAAACTTCAGTAGGGCAGTTGCTGCTGATTATACATGGATGTAAAAATTAGTCAATGCTTGCAATGATCACTGACCACTGATGGTCTGAACACCAACCTGTTCGTGGTCGAACATTCAAACCTAAAGAAAGTTCTACCGGGAACATCAAACATAATGCAAGTCTATGAGACTTGAACTTGTAA